CAGGCTGGGGGGAGTGAGCGTGGGGCTGGGCACAGGCTGGGGGGAGTGAGCGTGGGGCTGGGCACAGGCTGGGGGGAGTGAGCGTGGGGCTGGGCCAGGCTGGGGGGTAGTGAGTGTGGGGCTGGCACAGGCTGTGAGGCACGGACTGAGTGGGCTTCCCATGTTCTTGGTGCCTCCCACAGTCCGATGTGAGTAAAGAACCTGAACTGTCCGGATCACGAGTGGGCACTGGCCCGTGGACCACACCTAGAGGTCTCTCCTCACTGCCACCAGCCGACCCACACCCAGGGTGCTCACAACAGCTGACCCGTGGCCTGGGGCTGCTCACAAGCGTGTCTGGCCAGGCTGAGCGGCTGCCAAGTGACAGAGCTGAGTCCTCCCGCCCACGCCTGCTGCTGGGATGGCCCTTCCTAAGCCCAGGGACACCCCCTGGACATCAGGAGTCACTAGATGCACAGACTGAGCCCCCACCTTGGCATCCAACAAGTAATTGTACGGCATGAAGATGATGTCGGCCTGCTGCTTCAGGTTCCGGGACAGGTAGTAAGGACACACCCTGGAAGGGAGAGGAGGGAAGGTACCATGAGCGCCCCATTCGGGGGACGACCGGAGGGCGGGGCCGCCATATCTTCTGACCAGGAAGTAGCCTTATCCTGTGCATGGGGCCCAGGTGGGAAGCTGCTGTCTGGGATGGATGGGGAGTCCACATCAGTTTCCAACCCTGTGAATCATCGTCTCTTTAAAAACTCAATGGAAAAGAAAAAACAACCCTATTCCTGAATAGAGATCATCAGAAACCAACACAACACAGAACCACTACAAAAAAGGCAGAGCTGGCAAGGTGCAGTGGCTCATGCCTGTAATCCCATCACTTTGGGAGGCCAAGGTGGGCAGGTAGCTTGAGCTCAGGAGTTTGAGACTGGCCTGGGCAACACAGTGAGACCCTGTCTGTACAAAAAATACAGAAATTAACCAGGAATGGTGGTGTGTGCCCGTAGTCCCGGCTACTTGGGAGGCTCAGCTGGGAGAATCGCTTGAGCCTGGGAGGTTGAGGCTGCAGTGAGCCGAGATCACGACTCTGCACATCAGCCTAGGAAACAGAGCTAGACCCTGTCTCACAAAAAAAGTGGGGAGGGGAGCTTTTCCCCCTAAATATAAGAAAGGCTTTATTACAACTTGAATTTCTGAAGCTATGATCTATTGACATCGGACACATCTGCTGTCCTCAAAAGAACGAGGCCAAGCTACCAGCACCAGTATGAGAAGCTACTCCCAATGCTGAGTGAAAACAGCAAACTGCGGAACACTCTGCAGACAAAACTGCGTGCCTCCACACACAGACACGGGCCTGCAGGGTCCTGCAGACACAGGGTCCACAGTGGCCATCTGAGGTGGCTGAGGGCCAGGGACTAGGGAGGCAGTTTCACTTTTTACTTTATGTTCCTCAGAGCTGCTTAAACTTTTTCATACTGAATGGTTGTCAGTTTCATAATTTAAAAGGAACAAAAAAAAGGGAAAGAAACATATTGGGGGTTCGGCAGGCCATAGGAGAGCTGGGCCGTGGAAGGACATCGTGAGCGTGGCCTCACCAACGGGTCTCACCTGTGCCTGCTTCCGCTCTTGACCAAGTCCTCGATGTCCAGGATGGGGCTGGCCAGCTCCTGCTCCAGGCTCTTCTCTGTAGGTGTGAGGCAGGGGTAAAGACACACCCTCAGGGTGTGCTAAGTCTCCCAGATCACAGGGGGATGCCCAGGGCAGAACAGTTCCTCCACAGCGGGCAAGGCTGGGCATCCCCCCCACAACCATGAACATGCCACAAAGCACCCACTGAGGGTCTCAGGTGCCCAAGGGAGGCCCCCACCCGCAGTGATCCCGACAGAGTCCTCCTCTGCCCCAGAAGGCAGTCTGAGGCTGAGGGTGGATTCAACAGAGGCCAGCAGGGTCCCGAGGGTTCTCCGCATCCACTCCAATACAGCCCGAGATAGGACAGGGCTGGCGGCCATACCCAGCCCTCCTCAGGGCAGGAAAGGACAGCCCCTCAGCCTATCGCCCCAGGCCACAGAAGTGTCTCTTACAAACCCTTGCGATTACAGCCGCTTCACTCAGCTTCCCTGCCAACCACAACAGACCCAGAACTTCCAGCTAAAGAAGAAACAGATTTTATGGTGCTCCCCGCACTCCCCCACCCCCCCCCGCAGCATGGCAGCCATGGGAAAGGGCACTGCCTATGCTGGCTGAGAGGCCCAGGGCAGAAAAGGTCTCAGGGAGTTTGGGGGATGGCCTGCCCCTCCCTTGCCTCCACAGCATAGGCTCCCAAACTGGAACCACAAGAATTCCTTAAGGAGCTGCTTAAACACAGACAGGACCAGGGACCTTTCCTAACAAGCACCCCAGAGTCTTAGGGCAGTCACGTGTGGCAGTGGAGCCTCCCCCAGCTCCCAACTCCATCATGGCTATTTTCTGCCAGTCCCCAGCAGGTGTCACGTCCCCTGAGGGCCAGGACTCAGCTGCAAAGGCCAGAAGCAAGTGCGTACACACACACACAAACACAAACACACGCACGCGCACGCCCACACATGCACACACACACAAACACACGCACGTGCACGCCGACATACACAAGCACACACAAACACACATGCGCGCGCATGCCCACATACACACACGCACACACACGCGCGCGCACACACACATACATGCGCACACACAAATGCACGACGCGCACGCTCACATGCACACGCATGCGCACACCCACATACACACACACACGCACGCCCACATACACACACACATGCATTACACACCTACACACCAGCGATGACCCAACCCCAGGTGCCCCAGGGATAGCAGGGAAAGCAGGGGAAGAAAAGCATATCCCTCAGCAGCACCATAGCAACAGGCCAGCCAATCAGCATGTGCTGCAGCACCCAGCACTTTCCAGCCCTTCCCTGGTGGAGAGCTGAGGGCAGCCTGAGGACAGGAGCTTCGACGGGAAGGGGACGAGGGGCAGGGCCATCGCAGAGGCTCCGCCCCAGGCTAACCCCAGGCCTGCTATCCCTGCCCGAGTCCTCACAGGCCAGGAAGGGTACCAGCTCTCCAGCTGTCTCCTTGTTCATCCAAAATACCTGCCTCCCTTCCTCTCATGCCCCTCCTGGAGCTGCAGCCCACTCCAAAGATGCCCAGGCCTCTGCAGCTGCTGCAGACACCACCCTCACAGCCCATCCACGGGGCAGACCGGACACAAAGGTTCACAGCTAGACAACCCCCACCAGGTCAGGCAGTGAGAGTCCAAGCCAAGGGGGACAGGCTGGGGGCTGGTCTGTGTCTTCTTGGACTGAGCCCACAGGCCGGAGGAGGAGAAAGAGGGGGGACCCAACACCCACAGGCCTGACACCCATGGAAGCAGAACCAGGAGGCAGTCAACTACCCTCGCCAGGGAGCAGGTCCAGCAGCCACAGGGTGCTGCCCTAGTCCAGGACCACGGCCAGCCAGGCCCATGGTCAGCATTCCACCCTACCCCAAGGACACCCCCTGCATGAGCCTAGGGACACCCAGAAGGCGTTCCTGTCCTGGAAATCCGGGCGAAGAACTCGGAAATAATGACTGTTGACAATTTCCAACAACACATCTGCCTGCCCGTCCCAGAGTCACCTCTCACAGGCATGGCTGAGATGGGCGTGCAGCTCCCGTCAGGGAACCTGGGGCCTAGATACAGAGCCCCTTCTCAGGACCACCAGAAAGGCCTGGACAACCACACATCAAGGTGGCTGGGGACCTCGGTGCCACCAGACCAAAAAAACAGCAAACAAGGGCAGGGCGCGGTGGCTCAAGCCTGTAATCCCAGCACTTTGGGAAGCCGAGGCGGGTGGATCACAAGGTCAAGAGATCGAGACCATCCTGGTCAACATGGTGAAACCCCGTCTCTACAAAAATACAAAAAATTAGCTGGGCATGGTGGTGCATGCCTGTAATCCCAGCTACTCAGGAGGCTGGAGCAGGAGAATTGCCTGAACCCAGGAGGCGGAGGTTGTGGTGAGCCGAGATCGC